TTGGGTTTGGTCCTGCTAAGCATGAGTAAAGCCAAAAAACAATTATTCAAGTCCTTGCGAGGTCGTTGATCTGAAAGCTGTTACACATGGATTTGCTGGCTATCTTCTGGCTTGAAAATCCTAATTATGACGAATCCTTAGTCTACCTCAGAGACTTGTTTCAAGCGCGAAATAAATTTCCTGTGATCAACGACGTCACCTCACGGTTCACTGTCAAACCGTGCTAATTCAAGTATCTTCCAATAGTTCTTAGGTCCTGCTGATCGTATGGCATCAGCTTTCCAATCTGGACTTGGGGGTTCATGGGCTATTTCTTCGATAAAAATCCCTCAAGGTAGNTGAGTAAAGCTCAAACAAAGTTTACTCTCCTGGTCCTCCAGGTCGGTTGTTAGACTCGACTTGGCGTCTCAGTCGGAAGAATCAATCCAAGTATATGGATCAATTCCGCCTTACCTGGTGCTTTGGGGTTAGTTCATTTTCTGAACTTGAGATTTAGGTTGAGAATTCTTATCGTTTTTCTGCTTAGTGGCTGAGCTTCTCAACAATACACGTTTATGCACCTGCAATAGACACGTAATATATTATGTGGTTCATATTGGTGGAGTAGAACTCCTCCCGCAGAACAGAGCTATTGACTTAAAGTATGCCGATGCCGGTGATAAGCAGTCCAACAGTTTCAGCTTCAGTTTGTTCAACCATTAACCGTGCAATTTCGTGCGGCGGTTTTGGTTGTTGTCTTTCGGCTGCCCATTTGGATGAAGCAGCTGGAGAAAGATGGGGGAGGTCAAAGTAGAGTCGAACAAAAATGTGAGAATTTCATTGGTCGAAGGTTGCAGGGAAATTGAGAGGATGCACGAACGTCACTGTTTACGATACTCAGCCATATCACCCAGTTTCTCTAACCATCAGTTACGATCATCCCGAGGTCCCCAGCCAGGGAGCCTAACAGGATCTATGTCATCCAGTCCCCTTGTTGGGGATTTCATACCCTCGTGACACGTCTTAGGTTGACCACCCTTGGCTTTTTTTCCACCCAAAACATCACTCGCCGTGGCAACCTGTTTGGTAACATGCGTAACACATGCCCCAACAATCTATGGAGGTCGATCACTTGCTCCACTGGGCGACCGCGGTTACCCAAAACTCTGCGCCTAACATCATCATCATCATTGTACAGCGTAATACAGTGAAGCGAACTTCACTGATCGCTGCCAAACTCATAATGCATACAAGATAAGTGACAACATGTAAGGAGGACGGATTCGGCCTATTTTTAGGGCGGGAAAAGGAAGCGAACCTCTATGGTCAACACAGTGCACAACCCAACTGTGCATTTCAAGCATTCTGGTCTGATAAGAAGCGACAGCACGATTGCCATTCCTGTCGGTTCGCAGCCATGATCTTCAGTGTCATCAACCATGCGGTTTCGGAGTCCTTTGGACCTCAACCCGGAAGACGAGAGACACCTACTCTACCTAATCGCCCTGTGCATTTCTTTATAACTCGTCTCCACGTCGTCTGCTGGCCTCCGCGTGGCTTTCTCCAGCCTGTAAGAGCCACTGCAAACAAGACGCGTTGCGGTAGGCGACCGTCGGACATACACAAAACGTGTCCTAACCAACGGAGCCTACTGAGCTGGATTTGATGAGATAGCGAGTTCTGGTTTTATGTATTCCCAAACACCCGTCAACTCACTTCTAAGTGAATAACCCGCTCACTCCATCCAACCTGGGCCAGACTACGTAAGCATCGATTGTCGAACACAGCTAAACGACGGGCGTCTTCTACCCGCAAGCTCAAGGTTTCAACCGCAAAGTAGAACTGATCGTACGGTGGCGCAGTATAAGCGATTTTTCAACTTTAGTGAAACGTCACGTCGCCGCCACAGGTGTTTTAGTCCTGCGTACACTGCGATCGACCCACTCAGCTCGCCGTAGACCCTTACGCTACCAGAGGTATGTGAGTAGAGTGAACTCAGTATGTTCACATACTTCTGCGGCATTCCTTTGCGAAGGAGTGAACGCATAAGGGATTCGCGAACAACTGAGTCGAAGGCTCCTTTAAGGTCAAGGAACACAACAATCGTTGGTCGACGGTGCGTATGGCGTAGCTGGAGGACTTGACGCAGAGTGAAGATTTGATCGATACAACCGCGGCCTGGTCGAAATCCTGCTTGTTGTGCGCGGATGTTTGTCTCCCTAAACGGCGTCCGACGTCGAAGCATAATGGAAGCTAGTAACTCGGATCAAACTTATTCCACTGTGGTTTGCGCAGTTATTGCGAGATCCCTTCTTCAAAATTGGAACGGTCAGTGATTCGCTCCAGGATGGTGGAGTGCGCTCGTGTAACAAGATGTTACGCATTACACCAGAAATGGAGTCTACAAGGTCATCGCCTCCTAACTTGAAAAGAGTGGGAGGAAGCCCTTCCGGTCCTGCTGCTTTTCTTTTCTTCAGGGCTTGGATGCAAAAACAAGAAGTTCGTTCGAACTTCTGCTGCAGTAGGAGGTTCGGATGACACTACCCACAGAGCCTCAGCTACATTGGAGAGGATAGCCTGGTTAGCGCCTGGCCAGCAGATCTGTTCGCTGAAGTACTTCGCCCACCGGTCGAGCCGTTGTTCCCTATTGTAAATAGCTTTTCCACTTTTGTCGCAGATTGTTTCACTAACTGTGGTTCGCCGACCTCCCGTATCAGTTGGAACAGTCTTCGACTACTCCTCGATGCAGCTGCTACTTCCATTTCACTAGCTATCGTTGCCCACCATTTCTCATGGCCTTTCTTGAGGCTCCTCGTGAGTTGACGTTGTAGACGTCTGCTCCTATTGTTACTTTGCTATATCTTGTGTTCTTTGCACTTGTAGTGTTCTCCTGTGACATAAGAGTAGGCAACGGATATACGCGGTGCAAAACGTAACAAATTGGCGACGGGAGTGTCACAATGTCAAAGCAGGACCCCAACGCAGATGATGTCAAGACCATGATGCAAGCTCATTTACGCGTGATGGAGTTGCTGACTACTTGCCTGGCCGGTACGGGATTATCAACCCCCTCTGATTTGTGCGCTGCAGACCATATTGTCCGCAATATACCAGATTTGCACTACGATCCTGATGCTGGTGTCTCTTTCGAAACATGGTATATACGTTACGAGGACATATTCACGATCGAGCTTAGCTCCTTTGATAAAGACACACGAATTCGTCTTCTGTTAC